AGAAATTGTTTAATAACTCGGTTAAAATTTAACATTTTTTGATGATTCAAGTTCGTTTAAAGGGTAGAAGCAACAGCTATCAAATTTTGAGACTTGTATAAATTTTGTCATATTTTATGATAACAAAAAAAACGGGCAAAACCATTTCTTGGTCCAAAAATTTTCAGATTTTTACAAACTTTCTTCATTCATATTTTCACTAATAATAACTTTCTCAAGATTTTGTTTAATAGTTGTTCTTAGAGTCTCTTTAAGCAACTCGGAATGTTTGAAGTATTTGTTTAATCACATTTTAATGAAAAACAACTATTCGTGAGTGGCTTTTTCCGCTTTTTGGGGATTTCCGGAAAGTGTCGTAAACAAAAGAAAATTGCATAATTACGTATAATAGTCCAATTGGTTTCTTTCTACGAACAACTATACGAAAAAAGTGTCGGGATTATTTTTTAGCCCAAGTCAAGAACCCAATTTTCTATTCAGAGGCGTATTAAAACTTGAAACCGCCCAAAGCCCTGGGATATTTTGGCGCCCCTATTTTTACTCCATCTATTTTTTTCATTATTCAAATGACCCAAATATGAAAAAGTAAAAGTGCAAAATATTTTATTCTCAAACAACAAAAAATATTTTATTTCTCAACGACAAGAAGGGATCAAGTTTAGATATCGTACCATTGCTGCCAAAAGTCACTAACTTACTTTTTATTACTTCCGAGAAAAACGCGTTTAAAGATGAATTGCATTGCATAAAGATGTTATAGTTAGTAACTATTCGGTATTAAAATAAAACATAAATAGCCAGAAATCGTAGATAATGACTTTTCAATCGATTCTCCGCTCCAAAATATAGTTAGTGATTGAATTTGGTTGTTCGGAAAAATGTTAGTTAGTGACTTTTGGCAGCAATAGGACGATATTATCTATTCTAGATAAACATAAATATATAAAAAAAATAAACGTTTAAAATGTAAATAACATCCTTTTTCTTACCCTAATAATATAAATACTAAGCTATGTAATTAGTATTAAAAAACAAAATAACCTTATGAAAATTATTTTTTCTGGATTTATTTTCTGCAAAAACTTGTATTATTTCTGTTGCGTCCAAATTTTTAAGTAAATCTGATTTTATGAACATTAAGACTAAGTCACTAAGTTTAGAATGACCTAACTTGGATCTCAAATAATTCTTAACCCTCTTAAGAGGCCAAAATGATCTCTCTCCTGAACAATTGGTTACTGCCTTGGATATAAACAGCCTTAATGTTATTTCTAAGTAGATTTTCTTTCTTAAGTAATTTTAGTAAATTTCTTGGGTCCAGCGGAAGATTCGGAATATATTTAACTTGGAGAATTTCGTTTTCAATAGCTATATCCAGATCATTTTTATAGGTATTGGTCAATTTCAAGCAACCTTGCTTAAGATCTTCATCACTTAAGCAGGCTAGATTGGTAAGAAAAACAAACTCTTTCTCTACTTTTTGGTACGCATCTCTCATTTTTATGAGTTCATTTATTAATTTATCTATTAAGGGAAAAATACAGTTATTCGAAATTTCCTTTTTCCGTCTGTAAAATCTGTGTCACTTTTTGCTTCGTCAAAAGGTACTTTTCTTTTACGTGTCCTGGATATATCATACTGGAAAATATAATTTTGGCATAAACTAGCAGCTTCAGGTAGAACAGATTCAAACTGATCTCGTATATTAGTTAAATACCCTTGTAAAGATTCATATAATCCAAGCACTGATTGTAAATCAATGTCAACTGCTTGAAGAGCTTTGCTTGTTTGATTAAATCTTTCCAATATTTTATGCCAAAAACAAGTCATTATTGCAACTTCGAATAGCATTAATTTATCTCTTAAATTTTTTGCTTCCGATCTTGTCGAAGATTTTTGAAGTTTATCCTCAGCTATTGATGATAGCAAAACCTCAGATATTTCATGGTATGACGTGTATAAAGCTTTACTATTAGCTTTACTATATGCTCGTGCACTCCAGCGGGTGACTGATAATCTTTTAATAAAAAACTTGGACTGAAGCAAAGATCATCTTTGTGTTGATACCGAAAAAAAATTGTATAATTCCTGTTCCACGCCAAAAAATGATGTCGAAGTTACACAAAAGTCAACTGCGGATGTACCTACTAGATTCAGCGAATGGGCTGCACATGGAACGTACGTCGCCAATGGATTGCTTTCTTTAATTTTTGCTTGTAATCCTGTATAACAGCCAGACATGTTAGCAGCATTGTCGTAACTGTGTCCTCTATAATCCATTACATCAATTTGTAATTCTTTTCATTTTCCTATAATGATATTTTAATAATAATAAATTTAGCCGTTTAATAAAAAGCCGTTTTTTTCTATCTTCGATTGAAACTGCTTCTTAGTTTCATTTCATATCTATTTCGGGAATCGGTTAATGAGGTGCACTTTGTCTTTTGACTGGGAAATGTGGCGCCCTTTCAGATTTGGCGCTACAAGCCTGGGCTTGGTCGGCTTATACTATAATCCGCCTCTGCTTCCATTTGATCAAGAAAATCATCTACATGCCATATTTCGGTCAATATAGGCGAAAACCCGTTCTTTGGCCCTTTAGAGCCGTTTTTAAGTGTCTTCCCGGGATATTACGAAAATAAGTGTTAGGGACTTTTTTGCAGATAACCTAAGCTTCATTGTTTATTCCAAGAAAAAAATTGTTATTTCTCCATAAAAACTTTTAAAAATAATAGGTATAGGTATACCGGGTGCGTCTCAAAAGTGGCTTACCCCTATAACTTTTTTGTTTTTTCAGATAAAAAAAACGAGATTTGGTATGTTAGTATATGACATAAATTAGGATTGATTGACGGATTCAATTCTTTTCGGTCACTTCCTGTTTCACCGGAAGGAACCTCGGTATTTTTTTACTTTATTTGATAGAAAATGAATAGAAATGATACTCTGACTCGAATGACATATCACATGTCAACTTTTGACATATTCGCTCAAAAACAAATTGTATTTTAAATTTCAATCTAGAGTGCCATGGCTGTGTTAAAAACACTAATTTTTAATCAAGGAACCTGGGAAAAATAGATTTGATCGTCTAATGTCTTGTCCTGGCCGGTTAAAGATGCCCAAATCGTATTTTTAATCATATCTCAGTTTTTTCAAATGGAACGAGGGTGGCTCATTAGCATATTTGGTAAAAGCGTAATTTGATACCACAGACTTGGTATTTCGAGTCAAATTGTCGTTATGAACCGCAGGTTGCAATTTCAAATAAACCATATGCGAAAATGTCAAAAGTTGACATATGATATGGCATTCTATTCAGAATGTCATTTTCTATCGAATAAATTAAAAAAATACCGAGGGTGCAATTTAAAAATCAAAAATTGTACTCATTCAATTGAATATGTCAATCAATCCTAATTTATGCCATATACTAACATACCAAATCTCGTTGATGTATCTGAAAAAATAAAAAAAATTATAGTGGTGTGTCACTTTTGAGACGCACCCGGTATAACACACTTATTAAAAATGACTGACAATTTTATACCCCACAAAGAAGACGTTTTTAAAGAACCTGCATATTCAAAAATAATTTTAAATTGCGTAGCAATGTTCCGTAAAACTATTACATTTAACTTTTTTCTTAATTCTCAAAACAAAAAAATTGTTGCTTGCACTCTTGTTGGCTCACCCTGTAAGTACAATGAAGATTTAGTCCACATTTTAATGGACATGTATTTATTATACGCATATTATCACGTAAAATTCCAGTGGTAGGTATTGAAATATTATAATAGGCAATAATTTTATTTGAGTTTCTTATAAGCAAGTTATTGTTCTAATATAAATAGTAGGTATTATAGTCAAAACGCTTTATGACAAAATATACTGTAATTTCCTTGGTATTTCTCACGCTTTAATAAAAATTGTTTATCTCTATCGTAAAAAGCATGCCTACTTTAAGCACGCTAGATCATAAAATTTTTGATCATATTGTACAAAATAAGTCAATGTACTGTAATCTATATTTTCCTGATTTTTTTTTAAAGAACATTCACTTTTTTTAATTAAGATAACAAAATGAAATATAGGAAATTGATAATTTAGTACATAATATTTCATTACATATTTATACCGGGTGCGTCTCAAAAGTGGCTCACCCTTATTTGTTAAAAAAAAACGAGATTTGGTATATTAGTATATAACATAATTTAGGATTGATTGGCGTATTCAATTGTTTTTGGTCACTTCCTGTTTCACCGGAAATTACTACAACTTTTGATTTTTAAATGGCACCCTCGGTATATTTTTACTTTATTCGATAGAAAATGAACACTCTGAATAGAATAACATATCATATGTCAACTATTGATATTTTCGCTTGAAAAAAATTGTATTTTAATGTTAACATTATATAATTTTGAATCAAGGAGCCTTGGAAAAATAGATTTGATCGTCTAATGTTTTTCGTGTCTTGTCCTGGTCGGTTAAAACATGCCCAAATCGTATTTTCAATCATATCTCAATTTTTTAAACGGACCAAGGGTGGCTCATTAGCATTTTTAGAAAAAGCATTTTTGAGTCAAATTGCCGTTATGAACCGCATGTTACAATTTCAAATAAACCATATGCGAAAATGTCAAAAGATGGCATTTATGTCATTTAAAAATTAAAAGTTGTAGTAATTTCCGGTAAAACAGGACGTTTTTCAAACATATATAATCAAAAATACTAAATATATTATATTTATATGTACCTATTATTGTACTAAAGTGTAGTGTAAGTACTTAGTTTTTTTTTCTGCAAAAGTTATGTACCTACTTGAGCGAATTCAAATATTTTAGTCATATCTCTCTTATATTGCATAATATTAATATTGGATCGTGTTTGTTATCAAGAACTCATATATGTATTTGTTCTAACATAACATTCAAAACATCATAACAAATTCAAAAATAATAGCAATCCAAATAACAGATAAAATCAAAATTGCGTACCTTGACTAATTTAAACACTTGGCTCATATCTTCCCTCTTCGCTTTTCTTATTGTCACGTTAATCTCACGGAGCTTCAACATATTGTTTTTAGTCAGCCGCACAACACACCAGATCAACTACTTTTAAAAAATTGATAAGATTGACTGCCGCACACAGGCATTAATTTCAAATTTTCGAAGGGAGTTTTAATCAGCAATCACGTGAACCCGCATTCGCATCCCATTGGCTACAAAGATAAGAAAAATTTCAGCTTGATGTTTCAGTATTTTTATAACTCAATAAAGTCAACCTTCAGATTAGAATAGGCGCAAGGCCATTTGGTGAATGTTTTGTTTGAATAGTTAAAAGTTATTTATTTATTAATATTAAATTTCATATAACAATAACCTTCCGGTAGTTCCTTTATTTTTTTGGTGTTGGTGCTACTGTTACAAAAAATATAGAAAATATTAGCAATATTAGTTAAATATGCTAAATTATATATTTTAACTGTATTGTTTCTAAATATTAGAAGTGTATCTCGATAAATTTAAATAAATATTAGGTTTATTAGGTGTATAATAAAAATTAGAAATAGGGTATTATATTTGAATGCTTTTGGCGACATTGTAAAAATTTATATGATCCTCAATTATATATGCTGTTTAGGCGAAATTAACGTCAGCATTTTTTTGATCATATGGTTTGATCTTTATCTGTCACTTTGACAAGTACACTAGGTCAAGGGCCATAGAAAGTTTAATTAAAGTTATTTCATTGTAAAATTAGTAAAAAAGATAAACGACAATGGCTACTCTGCTAAGAACGTTGGCAGTGGCAGAGAATTCAGTCCTTAAAAATGGCACTAAGGTAATTCTATATGTTAATTTCTAACGAACTTGTAAATACTCTTTATTTCTAACCTTGATTAATGTGTAAATGTTAAAAATTATTACATAAAAAGTGCTATTTTTAGATATTAGGACCTGCCACTAATGGTCGCTGGAATTTGCAAGTGCAGCAACAAAGAAACTTGAATGTTCACGAACATATCAGTTATTCTCTGTTAAAAGAGGCAGGCATTACGGTTCCAAACTTTGGTGTAGCCCGTACTAAACAGGAGGCGCGGAAAATTGCCCAGGATTTAAACACTAAAGATCTGGTGCTTAAAGCTCAGGTTTTAGCAGGTGGTCGCGGTAAAGGTCATTTTAAAAATGGGCTTAAGGGTGGTGTACGCATGGTATACTCGTAAGTATTGCATGCAATATATAAACTGCATGTAGTTAAATACTTTTAATATATTGATCATGGTAGTGTCTATATAATATTAAATAGAAATTATTATGCAAAAGAACTATATAATATTTACTTTGGGTTATACATTCTAATACAATTATGAATTAATTTATGTTTTCAATGATTTGATTATATTTTTATTAAATATTAGACCTGAAGAGGCAGAGGATATTTCTGGACAAATGCTTGGTCAATATTTAGTAACTAAACAGACAGGCGAAAAAGGAAGAATATGTAATGCCGTGATGGTTGCACAAAGAAAGTTTCCCAGAAAAGAATTTTACTTTGCAGTTATGATGGAGAGAGCTTTTTCTGTAAGCCAAATAATTTTCAAAGTTTTGAATGTGATATTCACAAGGAAAATTACAATTTAAGGGCCCAGTAATTATTGCATCCTCCCAAGGAGGTATCAATATTGAAGAAGTAGCAGCTGAAAATCCAGATGCTATTATTTACGAACCTGTGGATATTATTAAAGGTTTGTCCAGGGAACAAGCTGAAAGAGTAGCTGTTAAAGTTGGTCTGGAATCTCAAAAAGAGAAAACAGTTGATATGCTACTGAAATTGTATGATTTGTTTGTTAAAAAGGATGCATTGCTTATTGAAATTAATCCATATGCAGAAGATGCAGGTGAAACATGTAAGTATAATTTATAATAGAAATACAATTGTATAAACATAATTATAATTATTTCTGAGAACCTTTTGTTTAATTTGGAGGTATCCAATTATAAAGTAGGTACAATTTTTTTCAGATTTCTCATTGGATGCTAAATTTCGATTTGATGACAATGCTGCCTTTAGACAAAAAGAACTTTTTGCTCTCAGGGATTGGACTCAAGAAGATGAAAAAGAAGTAGCAGCTGCTCAAGTAAGTTATTTTAATCTTTGGGTATTATTCTTGGTTATCTAATTAATATACAGGGTGTGCCAAAATATTTGCAGCAAATGAGAATTTTTATATTTTTAGTCATGCTAAATATTTGATTACACATAAACTTTTTCTTTGATTATATTATCTCTAATAAATAAGTATAAAAAACCCCATTTGTTGAGAATTTTCTAGCTGACACTGTAGATTACTGCATTGATTCATTAAATACTGATAAAATTGATATGAATGTGTTTTTAGCCTTGAGTGGCAAACTTGATACAAAGGATAATTTTGATATGAAAAATCACCTTAATGTATTTTTTTATCTATTATGTCACTCACAAATCAAATAGGAATTTATTTGTTTTATTCTGTATTCTAGATTCTGCATTCTATGATTTTTTTATATACAGGGTGAGTCTTAAATCAAAATAAGTGCAAATACTTTCAGGGCTGGTAGCTCTCGATAAAAGGAATATATTTTCTCTTACCTTTTTTTCAAATAACACTATATAATAACTTTAGTAGTTATTTTTCTTAAAATTAAGAAAAAAAAATATTTTTTGGTTAAATTTTGAAAAGCACTGTATCTTTTCTGAATTTTCTTTCTTGTAAATTTAATCTACACCTATGTTGCCATATTATGGAGATGTGTTTTTTAAATTCAAATTTTTTTCAAAAAATTCAAAGTTTTAAATATATTTTTTTGGGAAAAAAGACATACAGTTCATATTAAATAAACTTTTAGTCACGTGATTAAGCTTGACCGGTACAGCGTTGCTCACTTTTACGTATTTTCTTTTAATAAAAATATTTTAGGAAATTAATTTTTAAAAAATTAAAATTAACTAAAAGTTTAATTGGTATCGAATATAGACGTGTTTCTACGATCGAAATATACTACACCTAAAAATATGTGTACTTATTTAAGACTCACCCTGTATAATGGTATATACCTAAATCTAGTAGTTTTTTTAGTGTTTCAATTTGTTTTGATTTAAAAAAAAATTCTAAAACCTAAGTTTTGCCTTTTATTGTTGTAATGCTGGAAGTACACACTCGCCGAGGCGACCCGAGGCGCGACAAAAATGGACGGTCCTAACCAATAACAATGTGCATATTGTTAATTTTTTGTCGCACCTTGCGTCGCCTCGTTGAGTGTATACTTCCAGCATAAAAAAATTGTAGTGATCCAGTTGTTTGTTTAAGTTGGAGTACTCAAATTTGGTAGGAGAGTTTTATAGAGATAAGGCAAAAGATATGTGTGATATTTCATTTAGGTGGATACAGTTTGCTAAAGTTTCATACTAGTACATATTTTTAATTAAAAAAAAAGAACACCTTAAAAAATCACCTTAACTTAAAAAAAAATCTTTTAATAAGCCATTTGCCTGAAAACCCCTGTATAAATGTACCCTTATTTTACAGTTTGATTTGAACTACATCGCCCTAGACGGCAATATCGGCTGCATGGTAAACGGAGCGGGTCTTGCCATGGCCACTATGGACATTATCTCTTTGCACGGGGGTTCACCAGCCAACTTCTTGGATGTAGGCGGTGGTGCCACAGCTTCGGCCGTCAAAGAAGCGTTTAAAATCATCACTGCTGATCCTAAGGTATGTAAATCTTGTCATAGAGCAAATATATGGAATGGTATACATATCTATATGAATTTTAGTTACTGTAGTTGTCTAGATAAGATAGATTTAAAAAAAAGGACGATTTTTTTGCCATTGATGAGGAGCTATGTGAGCTAGGGATAGCCCCCTAGCTCATATAGGGCCCGAGTTACTACACTCCAAAGACCCATCTCTACTTCTTCATTGGCTTACTAGTTTTTCAATCTTTACCACTTTTCGTGACGCTAGCTCGTGTTTCACGGCCCTGAATGTTTACTCCCAGCGCGCGTAAAGAAGTTTCACTTCAAAAAGGTGTCTTTTTTTTCATTTGTATCTTTTAAATGAACAAATTGACCTGTCCTTCAGACATTGCTGGAAACCAAATACGTTTAAATAAAATATACGACGGCCTCCCCATAAGAGCAATGAGAGGATTTACGTCCCAGTATTGAAGGAGGACAGAAAATCGAGTCGAATGTTCAAGACATAGGTTCATCCTTGTTTAGTCAAACCTCCTACAAACCAAGGATAGACTTATGTAGGAAATGCATTGAAATTCTATAGCCATCCTTCAATATCGGGACAGGAATTTAAGCGGTACCCTCTGTATACTTTATTTTAAACGTATTTGCTGGAAACTGTATAAAGGAGACACAAATTAAAAACCGTTGCACGTCATCGAGCATGTGCATACATAGACAGCATTGTTGCCAGATTGCAATAGATAGGGAAATATTTTTGAAAAATGTACAATATCTAAGATCTAATAAAAATTCTAAAATAAACTTTAAATTGTTAACAGTTTTAAATAGTTTCAGGCAGTGCCGAAATTTTTTTTTAAAACAAAACATGTCTTTTATTGTTTAAAACAATTTTTAGGTTAGTTTTTACCAAACATCTTTATTTTTATGTTTTACTTCTCAAACCGCCTAAAGGGTAACAACCTCCTTCTCAAAATATTGTATCATAGATGCTACTAATTCTTGGCACGGACTATTTAACTGCTTCTGCATTTTGCGAAGAAAAAACTAACAATTAATACACAAAATATTCTGAAAACAATAATTTTCAATCGCTAGATAAATTTTAAATTTTAAAGCTTTAAAAGACACAATACACACGAGACTAACTCTCGACTGACTCAATTAACGTTCAGAAAGTTCTGACAAATGTCAAACAAACGTGGCATTGCTGCAACCGCGTCCTTGGCGTTGCCAACGCAATATTGAGAGGGAAATTTAAAACTCATTGTAAATGTCCCATTAGGACTATATTGGCGTAGTGGCAGCCCTGCATACATTTATTAGAGCCATTTCGCACCAACACAGTCCAGTCTAGTCCCGTCAGATTCAGTCTACTCCAGTCAAATCACTACAGCCCACTGCTTTCAGACCAAACGCGCCCGACGTTTGTTGATGACATTTTTAACGTGTTTTCAGCAAAAATAAGCAAATAAGCAGTTTAACAACAGAACGCTTTGAAAATGGACGAGATTCTTAGAGTAATAATTTTACGTCGATTAGAAAAAAGAAGGCGAAGGAGAAATTGATTTTGGATACATCCCATTCATAATAGAAGACTTGTTTTCGGATGTTTTAGTCACTTATTTTCCGATTTATTAGATGATGCCAAGAAATTTTACAATTTTTTTCGAATGGGACCAGATTTATTTTTCTTCTCTTTATTTATTCTTCCAAGCAATATCACAGTTTAAAGAATATAAAATATATCAGTTGACCCACTCTAAGGAATTCTATTGTTATTTTGACTTCAAAGGCGGCCCGTGACCTTTCGAGGTGACAAAAAAATTGTACGTTTACCGGGTGCAGCGGAAGTGCTATTTTATCAGTCAGAACGCTGGCCGTATACGAGGGATCAACTAAAAATACTAAGGAATTTTAATACAGCAAGTAGAAAAATAAAAATGCAGTACTAGTTTTATTGATTAACAGTTTTAGGCGTCTTTAATAATTGATCAATATTTATTTACTTTCTTCTTATTATTTAATACCATATCTCATTGTTTACAAATATAAATACGATATGAATTGAAATGTGAAATAAAAAACGGATTTTAGTTAAGTACATTATCTTATAATACTAATTTATTCATGTTAATTTTACAACAAAATAATTTACATATTTTACCATCAATGTTAATACATAACGATTATACCTTTGCATACAACTTGTGTTAACATTGTCAATTTTTTTGCATTTTTTTCTAAATTTTATGATTATCATGAACAGTAATTATGACTGTTAGTAATTAATTGTGTAATAAATTTTACTGTTCGATAAAATTTAGTAAAAATTGAAAAAAAATTGACAATGGCAAGACAAGTTGTATCCAAGTACTTTTTATTACCTTTTAATGATGAAAAGGTAGATAATTCAAGTTAAATGCAAACAGCTAAAAAGCAAAACATGCTATAACTTAAGAAATATGCAAATATAATTTATTACAGTTTTTACTACTAATTGAAGAGCACACGGGAAAAATAATGAAAGTAACAAAAAGGGGGCTACACCTTTTGGTACCTAAATAAACGGGAATATCGATAATGGCCACATAGAAACAGGCATTTAAAAATGGGAAAAACGATATAAACTCGGATATAAAAGTCCATGTGTAATTTCAATTAAAAAAAAAAGGTTTCCTGAACATTTATCATTTCTGGATACTCATCGTTTTTCCCATGTGCTCCTCAATTGTTATATTTACTGTTACATAAAATTTAGTAAAAACTCTAAAAAACTTGTCAATAGCAGAAGAAGTTGTATGCACGTATTTTTATTACCTGACGATATAATTTGGACTTTCCAGGTAGGTAGTTAAAGTTAAATACAAACATCTAAAAAGTAATTTAATGTGCACTTTGCAAACCAGTAAATACTGCAAAATCCAAAACATAATAGTAAAGTATCTACTACTACTCTAAAATATCTACTAAAATAATAAACTAATTGTTAAAAATAAATATTTTGTGCATATTCCGAGTAAAATCTTTTCTTAATTTATATGTATATTTTTAAAACAACTTATTCATAGTTAGGTTTCCATAATTATAATATACTTAATATGTCTAATACTTTAATTATTATATACTTAATATCCTATACTATATAAACACATACTTTCCTTCATCTTTTGGGCACCTAAAGAACGATATATTGTCTGTTATTCTACTTTCACAACCATCCACTGCACAAATATTTCTAGTAGACATTTTATTCACAATTCGAATAAAACAACTAAAACACTATTTTTGGTTCACCATATGCGTCGGACCGAAAACAAAACTAAAATAAACTTGGAACGCTGTGTACACGTCGAGCAATGGATGTAGACCGACCCAAGTCTATAAGACAGGCGGGGAGCGGCGGGAGGAATTTTGATACGGGCGAAGAGTGGGTCAACTGATATATTTTATATTCTTTAAACTGTGGCAATATATTATGACGCAAATGACTGGCATAAAAATTCAACCGAACGAATCACTATCAGTCTTGACTTGTCTGGACGCGACTGGACTGTACACGACGTGTTTTGTTTGAAAACAGCTTTCGTTCCCGCATTTGTTTTTCTCATGACTGTCCTAGATTGGATTCAATAACGTCCGACGTGACTGATCGTGATTGGATTGGATTGTGTTGGTGCGAAATGGCCCTTAGCCTAATTTGATGTCCTCCATTCGCGAATTTCAAGTTCCAGAGCTTTACGCCCTGGGCTACTCGAGAACGGTTCTGAAAGCCTAGTGCCTCCATATGGCGCGGAACAGTACTGAACTTATTACTCAATTGAATGGAGTGAGAGTATCGCGCTCTTGAACAGTTCAGAGCTGCACAACTGCGTGAATGGAGGACAGTAATTGATAGCGTGCAAAAGTTTTTATTTTGTCCTTTAGTATCTTAGTCTAGTCTTAAGAAAACTGCAGTGTTTGTGAATATAATCTAAAGCCCCGTCTACACATCATGTTTTACCTGTTCAGTCAACTATGTCAAGCAAAACATTGAGCGTATACGAAAAAACGGACAGTTTTACTTGAATTGAATTCAGACGGAAAATTGCACTAAGAGAAAATTTTTTTATTTTCCTTTCAGGTTCACGCGATTCTGGTGAATATTTTCGGCGGTATCATGAGATGCGACGTGATCGCCGAGGGCATCATCGCAGCTGCCAAAGAACTGAGTCTCAAGATGCCAATCGTGTGCCGGTTACAAGGAACCAACGTGGACGACGCCAAAGTACTCATCGCCAGTTCCGGCTTGAAAATCTTACCGGTCGACAACCTCGACGAAGCTGCCCGACTGGCCGTCAAACTGTCAAACATCGTCAGTCTTGCGAGAGACGCTAAATTAGATATCAATTTCGAAATGCCGCTGTAAACGATACTAACGAATATTTATCAAGGGTATTACCTATTTAAAGTGTACGATAATTTTAACATAATTAAAATGTTTCCTGTAAGCTGTTAAATAAAATGTATTATTCACACCAAACCATTATATACTTATAAAGAAACCGAACATGCCAGTGATGTTATGCTTATAAAATGTAATTATACTATTCCTTGATATTTATTTGAAGACGAAAGTTTTTTTTAACGGGATTTAAGGGAAAGAACAAATTTAAATGTCACTTTATATTGTCATTTGACGGGTTTTGTAAATTATTTAAGTCTTGTATTACACTGTTTACATATGTTATTAGATTAATTTTATTTATTAAATAAATCTCTTTATTTTTAATTTTAATGAGCATTTTTATTATTTCTGTAACATAATTGAAATGTTTCCTGTAGGTTGTTAAATAAAATGTTTACACTAAGCTACTATACCGGGTGCGTCTCAAAAGCGGCTCATCCCTGTAACTTTTTTATATTTTCAGATAAAAAAACGAGATTTGGTATGTTAGAATATGACATAAATTAGGATTGATGGACGTATTCAATTTTATTTGGTCACTTCCTGTTTCACCGGAAATGACTACAACTTTTGATTTTTAAATGGCACCGTCGGTATATTTTTAGTTTATTCGATAGATAATGATACTTTGAATAGAATGACATATCATATGTCAACTTTTTCAGTTTCACAGTTTCGCTTAAAAAAATCGTATCTTAAATTTCTATCTAGTGTCATGGCTGTGTTAAAAACACTATAATTTTTAATTAAGGAGCCTTGGAAAAATATATTTGACCGTTTAATGTTTTTCGTGTCTTGTCCTGACCGGTTAAAAGATACCCAAATCGTATTTTTAATCATATCTCAATTTTTTCAAATGGAACAAGGGTAGCTCATTGGCATATTTGGAAAAAGCATTTTTACACAGAGAGTTTTTTACATTGAGATTCATTTTCTATCAAATAAAATAAAAAGAAAACATACCAAATCTCATTTTTTTTATCTGAAAAAAATAAGAAAGTTATAGGGCTGAGCTATTTTTGACACTCATCCGGTATACAGTGTGTCAAAATATTACGTGGACCTAGGACAGTTAGTGGACAATTTACCTCTATACAAAAATGCTTCGTTTGTCCACATTTTTTCACGTACCTTAAGAACCGTTTTTTCGACTTGAATGAGATTTTGGGTGTCTATGTTTTGCTAAGTGGTTTAACATTTAATTTTCACAAGAGTTAAGAAAAAGTACGGGAAGGGTGAAAACTACCCCCATCCCCACCACTCATATAATTTTGCATATAAAATGACAGCGATCTTCATTTCATAGCCATCGCTGACACCGTTTTTTTTGACATTCGGTATTTTTTTAACCAAACCGACGACCGATTTTTTTCGTAAAATGGTTCTTTTAGTATTTACTACATTTTTTGTCTCTTCTCAAAAACGCCCCCAAACTTTATGAGGAAAAAAAAATTTCCAAAACTGAATTCCAAAAAATGTTTTTTGTCACATCAAGCCATGGAGACCCATAAAATCTGTTATGCGCTAATAATCTAGTTGGCGAAAACATTAGAATTTATTTTAGTTTTTTTTATGTTAGTATCACATATACAATATGATCGAAAAAAAGACGGCGTGTGCGATGGCTATGAAATGAAGATCACTGTCATTTTATATGTAAAATTATACGGGGAATGTGTCATCGATCGTCTTTTTCAAGCCAACTGGACGTCGTATATTTTCGATCATACAATATATGACAATAAGCTTCATAAAAAAACTTAAAAAAATAAATATAATATTTTAAATTAATTTAGATTACTTTAACATCGTTCAGTTTTATTAATTGATTAAATAAATCAAAACATTTACCTAAAAATTCAAACTGAAGTACCTATTTAGTTGATTTGTCATATAGTCATATAATTTCAAATATGGAATTCTAAATAATGCCCAGGACTAGTAAATGATAAAATAAAGCCTATATTTTATAATACTAAAACAAAAACTTACCTTTGTAATTATTAAAATAATACATTAAGGTACAATGGCACAAACACGTATTTTACAATAAATAAATAAATAAATTAACAGCTACAAACTACTTTGTCAGGAAGAAGTAGGATCACAATTCGTCACTAAAGTGATGGATATTGTGCAAATGATCACCATAATCTGTCACCTCACTGCCAACAAACGTTTCATGATGATCAAGAACTTCTTCGAAGCTTAATAAGTCATCATGATCGTCATCACTATGGGCAAATAAGTGAATAACTTCTTCATCAGCAATTTCACTGAAAGTAAAAATATGTAATGTTTTATTAAGTTTTTTAAATGTATTGCATGAGAACTTACTCATTACTAGGAACTATCCAAGACAATATTTCACTTCCAGTCAATTTTCCATCTTTGTCTTTATCATATTCTCGATCAAATTTATCCTTTTCTACCAGAAGTGCTTCCTTATCTAAGTCAGAACCTCTGTCTCCAACAAATTCCTATAATAAAGACCACATTTTATTCAAATATTGCTTTTAAGTGTATATATTATTGGATTTTTACTTGAAAACTGATACTTCCATCCTTGTCCTTATCTTTGTTCTTTAATGTCTGCGCGAGAATCAGGGGGATCATATCCGGATGCTCTTCTGGATTGGAGAAAGCTATCCATTCTTCCGACTCTAAAACTCCATCTTTATTTTTATCTGCTGCATCCCACATTTCTTTATCTTCTGATATTAGCTATTTAACATTTAAAATAACAAACTGATAATATAACTGATAATATACAAGTTGTCCTGAATAAGAACCCACTTTACATAAATATGATTAAATAACCCCAAAAAGGTTTATAATCTCAGCTAATTCTGTCACAATATTAGTAGCCTGATTTAGCTAAAGAACATAAAATAAAAAATTACAGAATTTACATACATGTAAGTTCTCCTCAGAAAATTTAAGAGACTCTTCATCAGAATCATTTTCAACACCATAAGTATCTGATAAATATTCAGCCCAAGTTATTTTTCCATCATTGTTATCATCTGCATCTTCTAATCTCTCATTTGCTTCTTCTTCAGATAACATTCTACAAGAGTAAAATAGTATCTAGATCTATTCAAAATACTAAATCCAGTTACTTAAATGAACGAATTATCCATGCTTTAAGCTCTTTTCGATCAATATATCCATCTTTTGATGTGTCCATTTTTGTTAGAAGGATTGCTAATCTTCGTTTAGCTTCCTCAGGAGGCAGGTGATCATATTCTTCAGCTTCCTTATAGCTACCTAATATTGCTTCGTGATCAAAATCACTTTTGTGCTCTCCTATCAAATATCAAAACATAATTGTATTATTTACTTATAAAAATAAAGAACGAAGTTGGTGGTATAAATTAGAAAGACCTATAATGTAAGAGTTACCTGAGTTGTCAAAATGGTCCCGATCTCTTGGAGCATAAGCCCCATCAATTTCTCTTTCTTTATGTAAATTATGATCATGACTATGACCGGTGTGAACTACTGCAGCAAGACACGTAAAGGAGGTATATATGAGAATAATACATAATATAACACAACTTAACAAGTTGGCATCCTTCATGGCAAGTACTAGAAAAAATAAACGTTTTATTTAGGAATAATAACAATAAATTTAAATACTTTGTTATTTTTATTTTGTTTACTTTTAACTTCAAGATCCACAGAAGACTTTTTAATAATTTTGACGTTGGCGATTTCAATTGGAATATTTTTTTGAAATTGAAAGGGCCTAATAATATAACCGGATCATAATCTAGAAAAATTGAAACGTTATTGTAAAGTAACATTTATATATGATTAGTAGACCGGTATTTTTTTATAGTAAGGTTATGTTTTTTTAATAATAAGGCGGTTATTATTTGTTTTGTTAAAAAATTAAAGGTAATTTCATTGTCCATGTCAATGGATAAGAAAATTGAACAAAATAATTCTGTTCCAGTTATCAACATGCATGCTGAAGTGTCCTCAACTCAAACGGAGGAATTTTACAATAACGCAGTAAGTTATTGGTCAGAGGTGCCGGCTACGATCGATGGCATGCTTGGAGGCTTTGGTCATATTTCAGAAACTGATATTCGAAGCTCCAGAATGTTACTGAAGCAGCTATTTCATTCTAAAGTACCACCGGGTAGAGAATATGCTTTGGATTGTGGTGCAGGCATCGGTAGAATATCAAAATTCTTACTGACCAATTTATTCAACAAAGTGGACATGGTAGAACAAAATTCCTGTTTTCTACAAGCAGCAAAAAGTTATTTGGGACCAAGTATTGTTGAAAGTAAAATTGGACAGATGTTTTCTGAAGGTTTGCAAACTTTTGAACCGGAATTGGGAAAGTACGATGTTATTTGGGTACAGTGGGTTTTAGGACATCTAACTGATGATGACTTTGTTAAGTTTTTTAAATCTTGCCAGTAAGTGTACTAATAGTTACTACATATAGGTATTATTTAGCTAATATAATTGTTAATTTTAGGAAAGGTTTGAAACCAAATGGTGTTATTGTGGCCAAAGAAAATATTACTTCTTCAGATGATATTGAGGTTGATGAAAAGGACTCATCTGTAACTAGACCATTATCGTTGTTAAAGTTATTATTTGAGAAGGCAAATTTAGATTGTTATAGATTAGTTAAACAAATTAACTTTCCTAAAGGTTTGTATACAGTTTATATGTTTGTTTTAAAACCAAAGAAATCAACTGATGGTAGTGATTCCTTAAATAAATCAAATACTCCAGAGGATGCAAAGAATGCTGAAAATTAAACTCATATAAGTATTTTATAAATGAATATTTTGTGATAATTTATTTATTATTATTTCTTATTTATTATGACGAATTTTGTTTTTGTTATAGTTATTCATTAAAGTTTTTTGTCTATTTGTTGTATTCACTAAATTATTGACATTTTGCAAAGTTTTATTTTGGTTAGTAATTACTACAAGAGTAAATTTATCGTAATCAGTTTACAAACTGTTCTTCAGCTGGTTCTGATTGGAATGAAATACTGATTATAATGCAATAATAGCATAGAAATTACAGACAGAAATACTGTTGTTACTGGATATTTTGTATGTATTCCATTTTTGTTAATGTATTTTGGTTACTGTTATTTGACATGAACTGTAATTAAATTATTATAAAATAATTTTTTGGATTTTCTTTTTTTTTTAACTAAAGTTATACCTACAATTACATATACAGGGTGGCGCACCTCATTCGCCTCAGTTGATTATACGAAAACGGAAAAATGTAGAAACAAAATATTTTATGGGTATATGTAGGGAGACAATGTGCACAATTTAAAATTATTTTGAAATATACAGGGTGTTTCAGAACTAAGATCCATACCAAAGTTATATTTTTTCTTATGGAACACCCGGTATTTTATTTCATTTTTGGATTCTTGAGCCCAAAAAAAGGCATTTATTATAAGGGTTAAATATGTCTAAAATCTTTGGTTTTTGGAGATATTTAAAGATATTTAAATTTGCATGCTACAATAGAATAGGTTATTAACACCCTGTACATTACTTTTCATAATTAATTATTATGTTGAGTTTAAAGGTAGAGAAATAAACTTTACTGAAAAATGGTATTGCATCCTCAAATTTATACAGGGCTTATCAAAAGTTGCTGATCTATTTTAAGAATGTATTTTATATAAAAACTTTGTTATTTCAAATGCAACACCCTGTATTTTTTAAAATAAATCGAAGCAGATTCAAATGCTCTTTCAAACTATATTAAGGTTTCCTATACCTATCTAGCTCAGATTTTGAATAAAAAGCGATTTTTAAATAAAATTCCAATCAAGCTGTCTGGTATCGCCATGGCAATTTTTTAGTGACAGTAACTATTTTCAAAATCGACATTAGTTTATGGACATTATTATTTATAATTTATAACAGTTTACTTTAATTTACCTACAATAGTTTAATAAATAAGTATTATTATTTCATCAAGAAAAATAAAGCAGTATCTGCTGGCGGAACGAGTAGATATGTTACTAGTGATTTTATTTTGTGAGGAAAATTGCTTCTTGGCCTCAAGGGCTTATGCTCAAAGATATCCAAATATAAATCTTCCCGATAAGCGTTCCTTTGAAAAAGTAATAGTCCTATTTCGCAGAGCCTGTAGTGTGGTTTATAGAAAACCTATTAGTCAGAAACCTGTCGGTGGAAGTGAAGAAAATGAATTTGCCGTAATTGGCTCTTTTATAGAAAATCCATATATCTACAAGTCATCGTAAAATAAATCAAAGAACTATTTCTTCGTGTTTCTTGATAGAATAATAAATACATATTTAATAAATATTATTTATTAAACTGTTGTAGGTAAATTAAATAAAAGTAAACTGGTATAAATTTAAATAAGTCCATAAACTAAATTCGATTTTGAAAATAGCTACTGTCACTAGAAACTTGCCATGACGACACTAGCCTTCTTGGTTGATAAAATGGCAACCAATTTTATTGAAAAATTGCTCTTTATTCAAAATTTGAGCTAGATCGGTATAGGAAAGCCTAATGTAGTTTGAAAGAGCATTTGAATCTGCTTCGATTTATTTAAAAAATACAGGGTGTTGTATTTGAAATAACAGAAGTTTTTTATGTAAAATATATTCTTAAAATAGATCAGCAATTTTTGATACCCCTGTATAAACTTAAGAAAGCAACAAGAATTAATTGTGAAAAGTAATGTACAGGGTGTTAATAACCTATTCTATTGTCTACTGTAGCATGCAAATTTAAATATCTTTAAATATCTCGAAAAACCAAAGATTTTAGACATATTTAACCCTTATAATAAATGCCTTTTTTGGGCCCAAGAATCCAAAAATGAAATAGAATACCGGGTGTTCCATAAGAAAAATATAACTTTGGTATGGATCTTAGTTCTGAAACACCCTGTATATTTCAAAATAATTTTAAATTGTACACATTGCCTCCCTACATATACCCATAAAATATTTTGTTTCTACATCTTTCCGTTTTCGTATAATCAACCGAGGCGAATGAGGTGCGCCACCCTGTATTTTTTGTTAGATGAATATCTTTAACTTTGGAAAATCCTATTTCCACTGTTAATACCGACAAAAATCGCAACTTTGATCTTTGTATCTCATGGTTTCCGAATCCCAATTTGGGATATCTAGTAATTTATTTTTGTTAAAACTTTTTCATTTTGATATAATTTCATTAAAAAAATGCGGAACATCACAATCGAATTATGGTATTAATTTAATCATACGTAGGTATTTTCGTGGTCTTGAAGTTTTAACGAATTTTAATACTATAATGGTATCTTGCTTATGTAATTGAATATATTAAGGAAATTTGAAGAGTCGCACTTGCGTTAAAATCATCATTTCCGGTCAATTAATGAACGTGCGCCTCAGAGAAATAAAAAGTTTAGTAGGGGAAGATCGATAATTCCAGCACCTGTATATACATAAGTTTTTATTTTAATATGAATCTAAAGAGATTTTCTTTTTGATTATTAAGATTTTCTGGATAAAATTGAGCAATCAAAATGATGGTTCTTATTTCTAAATAACACTTGAAATTGTTGAAATAACAGTGTATTTATAAATAACTTAAAATAACTTGTTTTCTGTCATCAAAATAAAATTTTTGTTTCGTTAACCATGCATCCCAAATATTTAAATTGTGTGACCTGCTTGATGACCTCTCCATTTAAGTAAATTCTGGTGTTTGGAATGTTGTTTCTGCTAACAGCCATAAATTTAGTTTTTGTAGTATTTATATTTAAACCCAGTCTTTTGCTTTCAGTGTTAACCTTATTTAGAAGAATTTGGAGATTATTTGCATTGTCTGCCAATATCACTGTGTCATCCGCATGTCGGATATTAGTAATTGGAATGCCATTTATTTTCAAACCAATGGGACTGTCGGAGATTGACTCAGTGAATGCTCTTTCCACATATAAATTGAACAACATTGGAGACAGAATACAACCCTTGTAGTCTAAGAGCTGGCTACATAAAAAACCTTATCATCGTTACATGGCCAATTTTTCTTGTGAAGTATCCTTTTGTGTGGCCATTATGAAATAATCATGTCTGCCAGCGCAATCCCGGGGATTAAAGCGGGGGCGGCCAATCAAAAGGGTGAACTTTTGATACTAAAAATATTACAGTACGTCTGTCCGTTCTGTAGCTCCGGGGTATCCGTGAGAGGGGAAACGATATTTTCTCGATGTTTTTCGTAAAAAATTAGACGACGCTTCCCATCAATAAAAATTCGACAAATTTGCAAGTAGCCAATAAAGTGAGTGGGCGGAGCGATTTGCGGTGACGCACTCGTCAAATCGACGTATAAAATATATTGCTGTTTATTTAAATGTTTTTTGTCCGCATTCTTTTCATAGACACAGATCCAGCAGATGTACTGTATAAGGTACACGAGTTAAGGCCCCACGTTGGGCGCCAAAGATTTAGATTAGGTAGATGTCGGATAAAAAACGGTATCCAGATGAATACCGGTGGCGAGATTATTTTTTTATTAACCATAGCTCATGGTCTATATGCCAATTAAATAGTTTTCCACAGCTCGGCTAATACTTTCAGGTACAGCCGAGAGCCATTTCGAGTGAGACACCCGGTACATTTTTTACCACTCTGAGAGTAATAATTGTTAATTACTGCGCTTACATAATATGGAAATTGGAAGGGTGGCAGTGGCGCGCAAGCATCGCCATAATTCAGAAATTAATTAATGCGTGCGCGCTTTTCGGCCCTCCGATCATCGTTCGCGGACACCTCGATAAATTTCGAATGGTTTGTCCGGTGGAGACGATGCCATCGGTTAAATTGGCCGACGCAGCTGTTCCGATTCGCTTTTGTTTACCGACATGTCCGTGCCGTATATACTAATCAGATCGGTTTCTGCTTTTGCCCACTTTATTAGCCGGTTTGTTGTAGAACGGTCAACTGATCGAAATAGTTGGCTATTCTGATTTTGATCGTTTGGTTGGCAAGAAAATTAACAAATTTTAATAAACTACCCAATATTTTCTAAAAAAAAAATATTACTTTGAAAAACAAGACACTTTGAATTCCCTGACGATTTTAAATAATATGGATACTGTAAAGGGAAATTCGATACAATAAGCCTATGCGCTGACCTGTAATTTTTAGTGGCCGACTATTTAGTTGCAAAAGTGAAAACGATACATAGGTACTTATGAAGTCAATCGGTCGAGTATTTGATTGCATGTGAGCGCGGCTCCATAAGGATATATCGGTTACAAATATTCAACCAAATAGTCGGGCGATTAAAAATTGCTTGCCAGCGCATAGTAATGTACTCAATTGTACGGCCTAATATTGTACTCAATTGTACCGATGCCGATCGGCTCCATAAGAATGTATTGTTTTCACTTTTGCAACTAAATAGCCGGCCGACTAAAAATTACATGTCAGTGCGTATTCTAATTATCCAAAAAAACTCACAAGGGAAAGGCAGAAAAATGCATGCTTCATTTAGAAATATGTAATAATTACTTTTATTCAAATAGGGTAAAGTAAGGTATGTTGGTGGTATAGGTAAATTGGTGATAGTTCTTTAATAATTTTTCAGCAACAATTCAGTGGGAGGCCTTAAAACGTGTCGGTTAAATCTATCTAATATCCTCTCCATGCTGCATAGTCTGCGGCGCGCTTTTGAAACATAAACCTTCCGGATAGGTAAGTTGGAAAAATAATATATCTTCATACGAATTCAAATTGCCCATGTTCAAGCAAAAATATCACCAACTTACCTAACTTTACCCTATGCGATAATTGTTTTGAGTATTGTATTTATCGGCTGTTATCAACTCGAGACAAACAAAAATTAAATAATATTAAACGTTTTTTAGGCTTGGTTGGTAAAGTTTTACATCGCCAAACTGATGATCCACGCGCCGCTTCTAAAGGCGCATCCACATTGCTCGTGATCCTGCTCGCGCTCTTGCTTTTGATTGTGCTTGCTTTGCTTGCGCTTCCTGTTTGTCGTGTTTCTCAAGATCTTTCGGCTCGCAAGCAACGGCGTCCACATTGTAATGTAGTGCTTGCGTTCGTGCTGTTCGGACATGGATGATACCGAAGTATTTTTAATAGCGGCTGCTAGTGCGATCATTATT